TTTAAATATAATTCCTTCATCTATTGTATAGATAGATATATAGACACTGATGTGTATTTTTTTTATGGTGAGTGATGAGTTTGCAGTATATCACACAATTAATTTAAAGAAAGTTATACCTATTTGATATATATATATATCAAATAGGTATCAAACTTACATCTCATTTTAGAATATAATACTATAATAAACTTTATTTAATAAAGGAGTCATTTTCAGTAAAGCCCTTAGTTCACTGTAGATGCGCAATCTGGAAATGGAAATTTACTTTGGCCAGACTGGGAATTAGAATGGAATGCACTACTTTTTTTAAAAAGAAAAAAAAAAACAAAACAAAACAAACATATATAGTATATATATATATATATTATCAATGCCATCGTGCTATCATTGTCCGTGTATGTGGGAGGGGTCTAGTGCAGCCGATCCACACTCACACACCTTAGTAATGGGAGGGGCACCCGCAGAAGCCACGCCCACTCTGTGATGAGTGTATTGTCTCCTGTATCCCCTGCTGTGTATTCCTCCTCCATTACACAAGCATGCAATGACAATCCATCTGCCCTTCTAATCAAACATGTAAATGTAGGTGCATGTCAGGTGTGTGTGTGTCTTGCAGCTAATTAATAAAGAGTGACAATGACAGCACATAGGACACTTGTCAATGTTTTCTGCCACACTTTGTGATTTCACAGGCAGTAGTGAGATTTTTGTTGTTGACACTACTAAAGGTAGTTGAGTATCTACCATTGGACGGAGGATTGAAGTGTTGTGTGCTGGGAGGTGGATCTGCAGCATCTTAATCATTAAACTGAGGACCTGAAAGTAAATGGTAGCTGCAGAAGCCCAGGCACGGAATTTCCAGGCTTGAATGTGTAATCAGACTATAGAAGGCATCCTTTGTCCTGTGCCATCCTCTGCTGGGCAATGCGGAGTGAGTTGGGGTGGAGAGGCTTGGCAGGAGCCTTGGATATCATACAGCTCAATGACTGACCGACCTGTGTGCCTGGCACGGATGGAAGCTGGCTCATCTCCATCTAGGTGAGTACAATGGATCTGATATGCATTGTGCTTGTCCTTGCATGGCTGTGCGGCCACTTCCACTCAGGAACACCCAACACTGGCACACACCGACTTGTGGAACTAGAAGGCCCAGCGTGCACTGGCAGCCTTGACATGGCATGCTGGGATTTGCAGTGCTACCAAAGATGGAAGCCGCAAATTGCCAAGCCCTGTGCTCAATTACAATAATGAAACAACACTGGTATCCTCCTGTAATTCTTGTTAAGTGCCAACAACAGGAAGGACTAGAACACATTACTAGAAGGAAGGCACCTACTAGGCGTTCACTGACACCGACACCATCTGCAGCATCATTCATAACACAATTTAATTTACACACACACACACACACACACACACACACACACACACACACATATACATATATATATATATATATATATACACACACACACACACATTTTTTTACAAATTCTCACAATTTAGGGAGCTATGTGTCAAGTTTTTGGGTTTTTTTGTTTGTTTTTTGTTTTTATTTTTTAGACTTTACGGTTGCTACACTAAGTTTTAAAAAAACAAATTCCTAACATCATACACAACACCAGTAAGATTAGATAGCGTGCACCCATTCTATCCCACTATCCCCTCCCCTCCCCATTCTCCCCGCACCGGCCGAATCTTCACTCATCCAACCGCAACTTTTCCATACACTGCGACACAAATCGTCCACTGAATGGGAGCACTGATATAGAGAGCCTAGTGAAAAGAGGTGGAGTCGAAGGACAAAGATGACGCCGAGGCAGAGGAAGAGTTAACGGTCTACAATTGGATTTCTAACTTATGCATCTACAAAAAAAAAAGAGCAAAAAAGCACCAAAAATAATAATAATACCAGCAAAAAAAAAGGAGAGAATAGAAAGCTATACTGACCGCCATAGAATCCCTCTATGGACGAGAGCAGCTCTGTAGGAATAAATGTAGATTATATAGGTAATAATTTACTGCAATTTACTTCTGTATGTAGGAATGTATCTATCTATCTATCTATCTATCTATCTATCTATCTATCTATCTATCAATCTATTTATCTGTTTATCTTTCTTAAAAATCTGAAGCATGCTATAATTAAACTACTACTACCAGTATTGCTAGTAATAAAAAATAATAATAAATAACAACATTAAAAATGATGATGATGATGATGATGATGAATACAATAATAGCACCATCAACAATAATACTAATAATATTAATACATTGTATAACAAAAATGATGATGATGATAATAATCATATTAATAATAATAATAATAATAATGATGATAATAATATATCTCTCATCAAAAATAAATTTTTTGCTGTAAATATTATCATCATTTTTATGATACAATGTATCATTATTTCTTCTACATGCAAAATGTATATAATCCTAACAAAAAAAAAATAAATGCTTTCTCACAATTCTGAAGATTTTTTTAAAGAAATATATTCATACAAACAAACACTTTTATATAGGGGGGCATCGTGCGATAAATTAAGATCACTGGTGGTGCAGGTTATTCAATAAATATTATCAGACAAGATCAGTGCACACGGACTTTCTATTACTCTTTCTTTTTCTTTTTTTTGAAGCCTTATTAAGGCGGCTTTGGGAGAAATTCGGCACTAACTGGTGCAGTGCCGGGATGTGTGATCTCGGTTTAGTTTGGGCTGATAGTGAATGATTTCCTGTCACTGACAGCACAGAGATGTCCTCCCTGTGTGGAGGTGAGTGATTTCAGGTGAAATAGGCGCTCCTTGTTTACCTGCGCAGAGCTCTTTTTTTTTTTTTACCTCTGGTCCGCGTTGGAGTTGCGGCGTACGGACAGCAGATGTCGCTGTTCCACCACAAGCAGCAGTGCCTAGAGATCTGGAGAGAGAGGGAGAGAGAGCGCCCCTCCCACACTCCTCTATGTACCCCCATACCCCCAGCACCACAGCTTCAAACATCTAACCATCTACTAGCCACCCGCTGAGCCCAGATCCAGGCAATTATTTGCTGCAAGTCCACAAACGCTACAAGCTAAAGAAGCAGCATTATGCAGAAAATAATTGCGCTTGTTTTTGTGCTGTTAGCTTTGGCACATTTCTTTAGAAGGAATATCAGGTACTTCTATTTTATCATAACTAACAAGCTTCCTAAAACTGAAGGATAATTACTTGTCCGAAGAAGGACTCACTATGCTAAGAAACTACAAAGGTCAACACATCTTGATTCCATTACTTTTTATTTTGTTTTGTTTAATAAAAGTCTACATTACTTTCAATTATTTTTCATTTAGCTGGAAATGTTAACTGACATTCTGTTAAAACACGCATCGGCAGTTAAGATTTCAAAAACACACTTAAAAATAAAATCAAGATTAATTGTAGAAAATATAGCAGAGTGGAAAAAAACTTTGTGAATTAGCGGCAGCTGAGACTGCAATGTGTCGCATTGTGCACACTACGCAATCTTTTACGCACCTTCCTAATTCCTAATGACCCTCTACGTAACCCTCTCCATAGAATGAATCCCACACTACGACACACATTTACCTTATCAGCCCATAACAAGGGAACACAATTCATCAAAATGTCTTCCACTTCAACCAAATCAAACCCTTTCCGCTACCTATTAATGCTGCCATGGCATTGCATTTGCTCTGCTTAGTGACATAGCCATATACTAAAACATTGCAAATAATTCCTACCTGTGTGTGTGTGATTGTGCTGTGTTTAAATCCTATCATTTTTTTTATGTTTAAAATTTTAAATTTTTAGGGACGATTTTTTGGAATTATTCTGCCATTAATTCTTTTGTCGCTTGCTTTATAATGGTAAAAAATGTGTGTAGTGTTTCTAATTATATTTTTAGAATGTATTAATAGAAATGGAAAGAGCACAAATTGTTTAATAAAATTCAATGAATTCAATGAGATATCCATAATATTATAGCTCAGCTTTAGTATCTAAAATATGATATATATTTGTATCTCTCTATCTATCTATCTATCTATCTATATCTATCTATCTATCTATCTATCTATCTATATATTTCTATATCTCTATCTATCTATCTATCTATCTATCTTTCTATCTATCTAGATCTATCTAATAGATAGATAGATAGATAGATAATTAGATAATTAGATAGATAGATAGATAGATAGATAGATAGATAGATAGATAGATAGATAGATATAAACACACACACCTATAAATTTGTTTAAAATACACAAATGGCTACATGTGAATGGTTGTAATAACTATCTAGCGTTACATTTTTTTTTAACATAATCGTATGTGTTTCCAATTCGTATATAACGACGTAAGAGATTTCAGTATTCTATTGTTTGTAACTATATAAATAAAAATTATATAATACTGAATAACTGTGTAAAGATATAATACTATATAACTGTATAATGATACAATACTATAGATATGAATAATGATTTATTACTGTATAATGAAATAATACCGTAGTTAAAAAACATGTATATGCATGTATGTGTGTGTATATATATATATATTCTAGTAGTAGATGTGAGCCTTTGACGTAAACGAGCGTCCATGTAATGCATGCAGGTAGCAGCCAGTGTGTGTATAGATGGGTATGGATTGGCAGTGCTTGGAATCGGCCTGTCACTGAATGCACTGAGGTTATGGGCACACAGCTCTGTAGGAGGCAGTGAGGCTGGAGGGCTGTAGGATCTGACATGGTGGAGGAGAGTGACAAGTCTTGCAGGTTTTTTGGGGTGTTTAAAGTGGTTTAAAAGTCAGGTGTTTTGGAGGGATGAAACTCTTATTCAAATGCCAGTGACTGGTGCTGTGATTCGCAGGCATTGAGTTGCTTGGGCTGTCTGGCAATGGATAGGAGGAGTGGAAGGGAGGGAGGGCAGGGGGAGACATGAGAGAGGGGGAGACAAGGGGGAGCGGGTTCAGGCACCGCTAGCACTACAGGCAGAATGGGACATTGATGTGGCCCAGGCAAATAGGGCTCAGGCCCAAAGAGACGTGCCAAGGATACCTGCACTGTATGCCACCCTCTCCAGGCAAGGCTCGACCGACCCCCGCGGTAAGCAGAACCCTCAGTGTGCGTTGTGGGGACTACACGACAGTATAGGGGGGAGATGGCACAGGAGACCAACACCTGACTTATATAGTGACACATAGAATGCATGTAATAATAGGCACCAGTATATGCCATTCTAGCTTCCTGTAGTCTGTCTGCTTTTTACTAATGATGGAGATCTTATACATATAGATTATAGATTGCTTATATATGTGTTGATTAAGTGTAATTGTGCATATGTCCGGTGTGTGTGTGAGTGTATATCTATATGTAGATAGATAGGTGTATATACATATATATATTTTTATATATATATATTATGATACATGCATGCATGCAAACACAGTCACACACTAATACACACAAACACACATCTACAGTACATGCAGGACACCTGTACTAAATGCTGAACACTATAAATTGTAGTGACTATTTGAAAAAAAAAATGTAAAAATAAAAAATCAGTGAGGGGCATTTGTGCAAATCCGATATTATTGCTTTCTGGTCTCCTAGATACGCTGTATCTGATTAGCCTTTGATGATAATCACGGTCCCCTATATACATATGCATATGGATTTGCATAACGGTCTATGGGGAGGGTCACGTTGAGCTCACTGTACGTCTACAGGTAAAGCCTCTCTGCCTCCCTCCATATGATCTGCATGTTCAGTCTGTACAATCCTGGAACACACTCACACGATTAAAAAAAAAACTATTTGAAAAATGAAGTGACAGGGCCTTCTATTTATTAAGAGCCAGGAAAACAGCAAAACTATACAATCCTAGAATAATAAAAAAATATATTTAACATGACATAGAGGCTTTACCTTTGGACTGATGAATGTTCACTGCAATTATCCATTCATGCACAGATGGAATAACTAGACCGTTTTTTGTTTTTTTTTATTTGCATAATTGGATAATTCAAGCGAATATTTACAATAAAATTATTGTCTGAATATTCTAAACTATTTTAGTAAATCAACCTCATTGTCTTTTATTCTTAACAGAGCAGTAATTAATAATGACTTAACTTTTGAAAGCATTGATAAAAAGAAATATAGAATAGATCAATGATACCTATTATAATAATAAAAAGGCACAATTGCATCCGAAATGAAATTAGCATTATATTGTTACTATGTATGTCCTGCAATGTCCACAACGAATAGGCTGCAGCTTAATTCAGGGACAAGTGTATAAGAATCCCTTGTCTATAGCAGTCTAGTCTATACTAGTGATTCTCAAAAATGCCTTTCACACACAAAGAAGCAAATTGTTCAAATGGTAAAATAGAGAAGCCCAAATGGTTTTTTTTTTTTTTTTAATTTATGGAAGATGTCAGGATTGAAAAAAAAAAAGAATAATGAAGGAAAGAAAAAATGCAAATATACCTTTACATATGCATCAGTATTTAAACATAATACAGTCTGGAACCAACGGGAGCAGGAGAAAGGAATGTCGTTCTTATTATTCATAGGACGTGTCTCCAGCCCCATAGCCTGCTCTTCAAGCAGCACGGATAGTCAGAGCAATCCTCTCCCAGCAACACTGCATTTTGTTTCATCTTGGGATTTTCCTTCCTCTTCATTTCCCCTTTTTTTAAAAAAAAATTATTTTTTTTCTTGTTTTAAAAAAAAAAATCAAATCAACATTTTCTGTAATGAAAAGGGTGGGGAGCGCAGATCCAGTGCTGAGCCGGATTAGCATATATTTTTTAATGCCCTAATTTCCTTGATGTATGTAAATGTAGCCCAGGCTTGCTGGAGCAGGCGGGTGACGTCAGTGGACGTGACCTCGCTGGAGGAGCAGAGAGTGGAGCTGGAGGAGAGGAGGCAGAGCCCTGACTCTCAGCCCGACTCCCCAGCTAGGGAGGGAGGGCAGCAGTCAATGGAGCTCCGGAGCTACATAACACATATGTGCAATCAGCTACTACAGCCCTGGATGGCTCATATATGTGCCCTGATTGCTTCTGCAGGCATGTGATCACTTAGACATAGAAAAGGAGCCTATGTACAGAGCTGCGGTAAGAGGGAGTGACAGGAGCCAGGTAGAGGCATCGGAACATGTATGATAATAAGGAGGGCGTGCCTGCACCGAGAGGCTGTTGTTCCAATCTGCATATGCCTGCTCTGCTTATCACATCCTTCCTCACCAGCGCACATGCTTTTGTTTTAAAGCTGTCAGTCTTGATGACCTCACTGCTCCACAAGGGGTTAAGAAATTAAATTCACCTTTAGAGTAAGGGGGGCCTAAAGGAAGGAAAATCATCACTGGAAATTACTAGAGAATAAAATTACCGGCCAAGCTGTGGTTGGGATGGATTTATTATCATGAAAGCATACAACATACCCAACAGATGTATAGCAATAGGATTGTATTAACAATAAAACACCATGACTGTACACAATACATACTAGGGGTGTGTAGGCACGCAGTCTGTGTACTACATGTTCTCTACAGACTGTATACCTCTATTTGGACATTTATATGGTATGGAATATAGAAAACACGTTTATATATGTGTATATATGTGTGTATATATATATATATATATATATACACATAATTTTTTTATGCCGTCTTGCATACAAAATAAATGTCCAAATAGAGAGTTATAAAGACTGTAGAAGTCATTCAGTATATATATATATATATATATATATATATATATATATACATATATACACACACACACACACATATATAATATATATATATATATATATATATATGGACATTTATTTTATAATGACTGGACATTTACTTTCTCTTAGAGAGATAAAACACCAGTTAGGGGGAAAAACATTTACAGCTTGTTGTTGTGCTCCATTTTTTCTCTTTACTATGCTTTACTGTAATAAAACTTGCTATAAAGGCGCTGGTTCCTTAGGGTAGGTATAACACTATGCTGTCATATATATAGGAGATAATGGTAATTCAGGGGGGACGCATTGAAAGTATTGGATACATAGTAAGACAGGTATATACTGTATGTGTGTGTGTGCACCAAACATAGCACCAGGGTCTTATATAAATATATACTGTGTATATAAATAGAGAGAAAGAGAGAGGGAGATTGATTCAGGACCATATACAGCTATGGTCCTGAATTAACCTCTATATATAATATATGCATGTATGTATATATATATATATATATATATATATATATATATATATATAAACATACACACACACATTTATATATATATCCATATGCCTATATGTAAGCCATCCATGATTCCTGTCCCTATAGCCCCTGTGTCTGTCTGTCTCCCATGAACTTGTCCCCTCTCTCATGCTTTCTTTCATTCTTTCTTCCCTTGTACTCCTTTCCTTTAGCTCTTCTCTCTTCTCTTCTCGCCCATGTCTCTCTCATTATCGCCTCCCTTCGCTTCTCATTAACAGTCAGAATCTTGAAGCCAATTTAAGTTTGCTCCAGTCATGCCCCTCTTCTCCAGACCCCCTCCCCTCCCCCCTGTCATTTTCTTCCTCGGACAGGTCTCCACTCGCCTGGCTCATCTCCTCACCCACTGTCTCTGCAACTTACTCATCTCTAACTATAGCAATGGCCTTGGATGGGGCATTAACTCTTGCATTCCCCCGCTAATTCATCATCTCTCTCTAAAAAGCCAGATGAACATATCTTGTTGTCAGTGTCAGGATATCAAATATGAATACCAAGCACTAAGATAATTGATGAGGATGAGGATGAGGAGGGTGATGGCATTGATAATGTGGGTGGGTAGGCTGCCTGGCCGTGCCATGGCTGGAGCAGCAGTAACAAAGGAGGCGATAAATCAGGGGCTATGCTCTGTAAATATATGCGATGCTCTTGTAGGGCTGCAGTCTAGGAACGAGTGATCTTCCACTGACCAGACATTTCAAATTTGTTCCGTCTGCCACATGAGGACTATGAGAGGGGCTGGAGCAAATTCATTATCTGTGACATGCTCGACGTATAGTGGGAACTGCAAAGGACCGTGGCAATGGCTGGACAATGGGGCTTCAGTTCACCAGTAACAAAAGAATTAGAGGGGGAAATGGTTGGGTTTCACAGCACGTCCTCCTCAGCAGAGAGGGCTGGACCAGACCTTGTCCAGCCCCCCCAAAAAACTTGCAGACCCCTTCTCTAGAAACACTTCACTCTCCAGCCAGTGTTTATTAAGCATATCTCTCAGGGGGGTACCCCTCCCCTAGTGTTTTTTTTTTAGAGGTGGGGGGGGTGACCTTCAGTGATATCTAAAAAAAGGAACTTAACAACAACTATACAATGGGATTAAGCTGCATTTTTCATCGCTTTGAGCCATTTCTGGAGCTGGAAGATAATTTGGCTGTCACTGGTTTAGATGGGATATTTTATTCTGCATATCTCTTCCTGTTGGGTGAAAGTGTCCTCAGACGTGTAAGTAGTGCATTTCATTGCTCATCAGATACCTGGCCTTTGTAGCTACAGGGGAATGTGGGGACAAGTGTGCTCTCACTTTACAGATTGAGTTAAAGAAAACTGAACTTTTCACAGGCTATCAACTTGCAGTTGTTTAATACCCCAGGCAAACTGGCTGCATAGATTAAAAGTACCAGGGGATGTTCCAGGGGATCTGATGGTGTGTGGGTCTCCTGCTTGCTGCAAACCTGTTGAATTTAGGAAGTGCAGTAATTAATGACTAAGATAACCACGTGTTTAATGAGAAAAAAAAAAAGTTCATCAGCATTTCTGGGTCTTATGCTGTAAAGGGAGCAAGGCCTTCTTATCATCACTAAGCAGGAGATGCCCAACACAATGTAACGATTTTATTGCTCTTGAGATCATCTGACCTGATATGACATATTAAACCCACCAATCATGGCACTGGAGACAAAACTTAAATTGCATCTCACCAATTAAAACGGATTGATCATCATCATCAGCAGCAGCAGCAGCATTCCAGGAATAGAACTCTGATCTCAGACTTTCTAGGCGGCACATGATGCATTATTTTTTTTTTGAGTTCTGCAATAACTGATCAATGCATTAGAAATAGGTGTGTAGGTGCTATATTCTATTCTGTGTTATTTTGTATTTACACTATTTCCCTGTGTTTGAAATGTCCTCTATGTGCCTCAGATTTTTAAAGATGATCTCCTATGAATTTGCGAGTTATTAAAATAGCAATATAATATTAATTACACGTGCTTGACCCCTCTGATCTATCATGCTCAACGTCAAGTTCACGGCTTGGGAGTCACAAGGGGACTGAGGCTCAATGCAGTCTGCTGTGTAGGCCTAGGCACAGTGTGACAGCGCCAGCTCCTGTCTAATGGCTGGCCTCCGAATTAGGTAGGCTCCTTTGATTGACAGCAGAAAGATCTCAATTTATTCTCAAATTTCGTTTTTTTTCTCTTTTGCTGCAATGTTCTGTAGGCATCTATTGTGCTTTTTCTGAATTATTTACGTTCTGACTTCCAAAAAAAAAGCTTTTCTTTACACATGTATGCACCATAGTGTATAATCTCATTTAAAAAAAGATTCTATCAATCATGGAACATGCAAAGCACCACTAGCACTGGATGCAGGATTTGTAGATTATAATGCCATCATGAACCAGTATAGGATCCTTCTTTGGATAAGCTTTTATCTTTAAACGTGTGGATGCTGCTGATTTCTTATTTTAGGGAGGCTAATGTAGTATTTGTAAAAATATACCTTCAAAATGCATTTATAATACACGAGGAGTTCTGTTTATAAATGTTTATACACATAACTTTCACACAGGATTTACAAATGTTGTCAAATAGAAAAGAGTGTAAATCTTGGGTGAAAGCTGTCTAAATCTTTTGTTAAAACATTTATAAAGAGTCATAGTTAATTTTTGTTATGCCTACAAAAAATAAAAATAAAATTAAATATATATATATATATATATATATATATATATATATATATATATATATATATATATAAAAAACAGTAGGCTTAACACTACTCTTTTTCATCATTATATGCAGCTATGCTCAACGAGACTGATTTATAAAAGTAGTATTGTTTTATATTGGCCTCTCATTACTTCATATGTCTAGTTTAGAGGAATAAAAAAAATCTCACTGGTTATGGAAATAAGCGTGGGCCAGAATAAATATATTCCTTTAATTAATCATTTCCTATGTAAACAACTATTGTACGTATATTTTTTGGTGTGTGAAATGACAGGTTCTTTCAGGGAAATAATTTTTTCTTTTACCTTTTTCAGATGCTGCTGTGGGGGCATATAACAGCCTGAAAGCCAAGTTGGAGGTAAAATGCAAATAATGACATATTAATGACATAAGCCCCCTTGTATGTCTCTTGTTTTCCTGATGCATGTACGTGACAATGCATGTGTTACTGGAGTTTCATTGTAAGCACCGTTGCTGTACTTGCATGTATCATTTTTACGTTATTTTATGTTGCCTTTTTGTATCTCATTACATAAGTGTGAGCAGAGTGTAGATACATTTTGCATAAGTCAAATGCATTGACTACTTTAATGTAATTTTAAAGCAGTCAGATAACAGACCAGCGATTATGCCACTAGTCAAATGGAGAGGCAGTGGGGTGTTAATATATTCCCAGTCTTAGGAAATATTTCCTTTTCACTAGTTATTAGCCTGTAAAAAAAGGAGAGATGTACCAAAAAAAGGAAGTGATCCAGATGTGAGATGTTATTGTGCTAATGAGAATAATAGGTAGATCCCTCCAATGTGGGTGATTCGTATGATGTCACTGATCAGTAGAGTGAATAATAAGTAGTCCCCTCCAATGTGGGTGATTCATATGACGTCACGGATTGGTAGAGGCCCATTACAGCACCTAGGTTTACTTTGATGTCGTAGAGCATGTTTATATGATAAGCTCCAACAGAGGCTGCATGTGTGAAGCCATTTCAACCATCAATGACCAGTCAACTCTAAATATATGTAAATCCTGCGAAAATGAACTTGAGGTTTGCAAACTGCAGTTGCTAAGGAGGGCGATGCAGGTTCTTTGTAAGAATGGATTGTTCATAAGGCGTTGTTGCAAGGCTGCATGTGACGTCACATATACCTAGGCCCCTGTATTCCTTCTACCAAGTCACATACAGGGATTGCAAGGGTTTACATTTATACTAGACAACAGGAATCTAGCGGTTGCTGTTTCTTAGGGTATTGTCAGTATGTAAGGAGAGTGTGAAATAGTCATACATATTTATATGTACTATGTATGAAGGCTTATTACATAGGCAGCAAAGGCCCATCGGGTAAGGTATATTCATTGGTTCCCCCTCTATGGGGAGAACAGTGGTAGATAGACAGACAGACAGATAGATAGATAGATAGATAGATAGATAGATAGATAGATAGATAGATATGGATATAACAATATTCACAATCCATAGTTCATCAGCTAGATGTGCACAAACCTCTTTGGGTTGTATGTAGCAGTCAGAAAAATAGTTATATGGGAACACTAGATAGATAGATCTTTAGAGAGATAGATAGATAGATAGATAGATAGATAGATAGATAGATAGATAGACAGACAGACAGACAGACAGACAGACAGACAGATCTATCTTTAGAGAGAGAGAGAGTGAGAGAGAGAGAGAGAGAGAGAGAGATAGACAAGACAGACAGATAGGCAAGATATAGATAGATAGATAGATAGATAGATAGATAGATAGATAGATAGATAGACAGACAGATAGACTTGTTCAATTTCCTTTAGATTTACCTTCAACTATGTAGTGCAAGGGGCTGCTTAAATGCATACAAATGTGAAGTATTAGGGGTGGTTTTGGTAAATCTAAAGAAAAATTATACAAGAGAATTGTATAATAAATGTCCAGCCTTAGTTGGACAGACACACAGCTAGATATAGCTAGATAGCTAGATAGATAGATAATAGATAGATAGATAGATAGATAGATAGATAGATAGATAATAGATAGACAGATAGATAGATAGATAGATAGATAGATAGATAGATAATAGATAGACAGATAGATAGATAGATAGATAGATAGATAGATAGATAGATAGATAATAGATAGACAGATAGATAGATAGATAGATAGATAGATAGATAGATAGATAGATCGATCCAGAATGGTCTCTGGCTGTATATTGTAGAAGTAAAATAGTACATTGTTTGTGTCTAACAGTGTTAAATATCAGACTCATTGTTACATAAGCAGAACCTGATCTGTTAGCACACAAGCCAGGTGTTAGAGGATTAAGGATCCAGGACTGGATTGTTTGTCCAACATTCAGTATTTTATTACAGCCTTTATTAACGTACCTTAGATACATGGCTATGTCTCAGCATATGAGTAGCCAGCCTAGCATACAATGATGCAGAATTAGAAGTGTGCCCATGCAATCCCCCTCCCACCACCTTCCATCCACCCCAGATCTGGGCCAGAAATCAGCAATTCTGGACAATTCCAAGCGAGCTGAACTGTGTCATCCTTCCATGGTAGGGATGGAGTATTAGGCAGCAAAGGGCAGCAGCACACACAGCCAGGACACACTGAATGCATGAGCCCAGCAAAGTGGCAACGTAATGACACGGTGACTCACTGCGGATCAGAGATTTCAGAAAAAAGGCAAGCAAGGCCCTGCTATAAGCAAGAAGCAAATGCCTTCCGTTGTTGAGAGCAGCCAGGAGAGAGGCAGGAGAGGCGGTGTGCTCCCGGCAGTGCGGGGCTCCCCTGGGGTGCAGGCCTTGGGGTTGGTGCTGTAGGGTAGAGCGCTGTGTAGAGATGCTGGGAGCTGTCCCCGCTGCGCTGGTGCTGATGCTGCTGGCTAGGGGCAGCCCGCTGCTGATCACTCATGCATATCAATAGCCGCGTACTTGAGATCTCTCTCCCTCTCTCTCTTTTTTTTCTCCTCTTCATGACATCATCATTACCTTGGTCTCCTGCTGTCCAGGACCTTTGACCTTGCCGGGCTGGTCCACATTTTTTTTTTTTGGCAAATGAAAACCCCCTCCCTCCAATGATGGCCCTTTTCTCCTTTTTCAGACCGGTGGCAGCAGCAAGCCAGCAAGACTGCATCTCCTCAGTCTCTCCCCCCCCCTCCTCTCCTTCCATCGCACAAGGAGCTTCCCCCCTCATCAACACATAGATGCCCGAGATGTTTGCCATCAACTGCCACCATTGGGGGGGAAAAAAACCCTGGGCACGTCTAAAGCCAGAGGATCAGGTGGAGAGCATTGAATCATCTTGTCACTTTGGACTGGAATGGGATTTTCTTGCTGGGCTGCACACAAGCCTTCACATCTTCTCCAGGAGTCTTGGGTGAGAATGAAGCGATTTACAGTGTCAATGCAAATAGAGGCCTGGCCAAGGGATGGATGCACATTGGGAGCTTGCTGTTGGTCTTTGCTGCACACATCGGGGGATTATTACTGATGGGAATAACTCGCCAGGAGCAAAGTTGGGGATAAACTTTGATGGCAACAGATCTCTGATGGCTTGGTTATGGAGACCATGGCTGGTGATCAGGAGCGATGTGTTTGGCCAGGGGATTGTTACAACAAGAGACTGCTCTACAAGCCCCATCCAGCCTGATGTGATCAGAAGGATGGTGGATCGCTGGGATCTGGGTGCACGAGAAGTGGTTGTTATCTTTGGTTATCTAGCTGTATGAGTTTATCGGTTTTCATAAAGCTAGATAACCGAAAGTAAAAACTCCTTCCAGAACATCACATCGCTGAAGGATGTACAATCCACACACAGGGGACTGCTGGAACTGACTCAGCCAATCACACATTGGACCCCCCCCCAAAAAAGCTAGACATATATGTATATACATGTCATTTATGGGGTCCCCTTATGTTTAAACAAGGATTGCAATGAGGACCAGCTTTTATTAGCCCACAAGGATAATGGATGGTAATGTATATGCAACTTTCCTTCAGCATAAAAAAGTATTGATTGTTGACTAGTGTGACCCCAGAAACATGGGCCTGTCTGCAGAGTCTACAGTCATCTTAAACAATGTAGAGTCTGCTGGCAGATAAGTAGTTAAATGAAGCACGATACAGTGGTGTCATAAAACATATACTGTATATTCCTATGTGACATCATCTTCAGTAGAGACACACTGTGCTAGTTTAATTGTTGTCTGTATTTGGGTCCAAAGTAGCATAGGTAGCATAATAACACAGAGTCCTACAATATGCATTACATGTAGTGTAATAAAATCTACATTACATGTGGTGTTAGTATTGTTTGTGCATTTGTAAAGGTCCAATAGGCCAGAACAGCATTACTCCCAGTAGCTGGAGTTTCCCATGTATTCTAGTGTCACAGTCTTATAATATACACATATGCCACATGCTGTATGCCATAATGTACATTTTGTATAATTCTTGCTACATGGCTAATAGACCAGTAGTGAATCATTTTAAATTAGCATAGAGAATAATAGTTGTCTGTTTTTTATGTGTTGCTGATATATATATATATAATCAAATATTGGGATAATGCATACTGAGTTCCTGGATATGCATAGGTCCAGTAAGCCACTATGAAATTACACACAGTAATTTGAGTTTTCAGTGTGTTTGGCTGTTAATGTACATGGAGCATAAAACTACAGTGAAATAAAATACAAATACTACATGATGTAGGAAAATGCCCACTGTCTGTTTCTCATTTAAATGAAATGTTGTATTTTTTTCTTGACTCTTTCAATGCCAGATTATTAAGCCTTCAATTACACTTATGGGCTGTTCTGGTACTTAAATGGTGGAGCTCAATGACAGTGCAAAAACTAATATATATATATAAATATATATAAATATATATATATTTTATATTTATTTTATTTTTTTTTTCACTCTGGGATTTAATACATCCCTTACTTTCCTATTTGCCTTACTCAAATATCTGAGATTTCCACGTGTTGTTTCCATGTACTTATAACATCAGCATCATATACTAAAATACGTATGTTACACCTACTATGATGCAAACTCAGCATTGCTGAAGTTCTATATGTATATATAAGAAACCATAGTAACAATTACCATAGCAATCAGTCTAAGTTCCCATCGTGACTAAGTGCCATGTAGAACATATTCACATATGGAATTCTGGATCATCATACCCCACTAGAATAATCCATTTGCCTAGTTTATATATAGAAAACAACAGAATATTATGTATCTTGTAATTTTACTGTGTGTGGGTGACATGTATCTACTGTTATAGCATAGTAGCAGTGTGCAATACAACACATATATCACATGTGGTATAATGTACACTCAGTCCAGGGACAATAGAATTCCACTGAAAATAGTTTTGTTTTTATGTATAGAGAGTAGCATACCACTTTGTAATTAATATATTATTACACGTGGTATAATGCAAAATGTACACATGAAACACTAGTACTGATGTAAATGTTATTCTATAGGAGAAATCCACAAGGCTTACCAAAATGGTAAGGATCTTAATTTTTGTAATGTGACTTTAATTTTTCAAAGCTTCTTAGACTTAGCTGAAAATAACTGTCACTTTTTTTACTACATTAATGTGGTCTCAATCCAGGGACACTATAAATTCCACTGAATACTTTTTGATTTTATGTACATAGGGCACCACACACCACTCTGTAATAAATATATTGCATGAATTTTAATACTAGCTGACTACTGAAGCGTATATATGGAATCACCATCCTGATAGTTTTTTATTCTAAAAGCTTTTTGCACAAAACTTTAACACACAAGGGTAGATGATCTTCATTTCAGCCATGTGACTTTCATTTTCAAAGTTGATTAGACTCTGCTGAAAATAACTGTCACTTTAAAAAAATAATGTACACTTATACTTCAAGAAAGCAAAATTCCATAGCTATTTTGTTACTCACATCATAGAGCAGAATATTCCTATTTAATAAATATATTGCATGTGATATAATAATACTGACGCTCTGTATATATGAATCACTAGTACTGATGTCGTTTTTTATTTTATAGGCTTAAAGGTATGGATCTCTATTTTAGTCATGGGACTATCATTTTCAAGGCTCATTAGACTCAATTTAAAAATAACTGTCACTTAAAAAAAAAAGTACAACTTAATCCAGGGACACTAGAATTCCAATGTATTACACAGAGCAGAATATTACTAATAATAAATAAAAATTTACATATGGTATAATACAAGCTGACTACTGAAACTGCATATTTTGGGTTACTAGTACTGATGTAGTTTTATTGTATAGTCTTTAATGGGTAAGGATCTTTATTTTTAGTCATGTGACCTTAATTTTCAAGGCTTATTAGACTCAATTTTAAAAAATAACTGTCATTTAAAAAAAATAATGTACACTTAATCAAGGGACACTAGAATTCCAATGTATTACACAGAGCAGAATATTACTATGTAATAAATATATTTACATATGGTATAATACAAGCTGACTATTGAAACTGTACATATGGGTCACTAGTACTGATGTATTTTATTGTTTAGTTTTTAAGGGTAAGGATCTTTATTTTAACCATGTGACCATCATTTCCAAAGCTTATTAGACCCAATTAAAAATAACTGTCACTTTTAAAAATAAAATAATGTACACTTCCATTTAGGGGTACAAGAATTCCAATGTATTACACAGAGCAGAATATTACTATGTAATAAATATATTACATATGGTATAATACAAGCTGACTATTGAAACTGTATATATGGGTCACTAGTACAAATGTAGCTTTATTATATTGGCTTAAGGATAAGGATCTTTATTTTAGTCATGTGACTATTATTTTCAAGGCTCATTAGACCCAATTAAAAATAACTGTCACTTAAAAAAAATAAAATAATGCACACTTCATTTAGGGGCACAAGAATTCCAATTTAATCCTTATGTTTTTACTTACATAGAAATAGAATACCACTCTGTAAATAAATATATGATATGTAGAATAATGAACAACGTATATATGGATCATTAATAAGCTTTATTCTGTAGGCTCAAGGGTAAGAATCTGTGGGACTGATTTACTAAAACTGGAGTGAAAAAATCTGGTGCAGCTGTGCATGGTAGCCAATCAGCTTTCAACATCAGCTTGTTCGTTTAAGCTTTGACAAAAAAAACTGGAAGCTGATTGGTTTCTATGCAGAGCTACACCAGATTTTGCATTCTACTTATAATCAACCACCCCCTGTGTTTAGCTATGTGACTATTATTTGCAAAGCTAATTTAAAAAAAAATTGTCATTTTTTTTGTAATAAAGATCCTTATCCTGGTAGGTTAGGTTGGGTTCCTGATGTGTGATTTAATAAATGAATACTCAATATTACTCATGGATATGTACATAAAGACCAGTGAGCTGTGTTTTGTGATTTTGGTGGCATGAACACTGGTCATCATTTGGAGAACGTTGCTGTTGTTGATGACTGGTCATCTGCCTCCATATTCATCAATAAAGGAGATGCAGAGTAGGAGAAATATGATGGCTGGAAATGTTCCTTCTTCTATTGGAAATGCAAGGACAGATGCTTGTCTCTTGTGAGTGGGTCTCCTTGAGGAAGGCAGTGAAGCAGAAAGACATGATGGAGAAGAGTTCGCCTCCCCCCTTGTCAAAGTGTTTAAAAATGTTCTTGTCTTACTCTGCAGCCAGCATTGGAAATGAAAGTGACATTTACGCCAAGGAAGCCACGTGTGCTCCTCCTCTGCATCTCTCCGCCGATCTTCTTTAAGGTTGGCCACATCTAGCCTGGAAACAGCTCAGGCATCCCAAAAAAGTGAAATAATTAGGACGTAGACACAAGTGACAAAAATGGAAGAGGAGGAGGAGACTGGGAGGGAGGGGGGTCTGTCCTGCCTAATTGATTCGGTTAAACGGAATGCAGGAGATGTGAACGGCTGGACGCTCCTATTCCCACGCTCGGGGGCAAGTGGCAGTGCCATGGGCCGGCAGCCTGTGATAGACAGACAGCCATGCAGGAGGGGGGGAGGGGAGGAGGGGGAGACACAGCAAGTGCCCCAACACCACACTCAGCTCACAGCTTTAAGAAAGTGCAGGCATTTCCCACCCACAGCCATCTGCAGGCTCCCCAATGAGAGCACCAACTGTTTAGCAGCAGCACACTGTCTGCTTTTTGTTCATCTAATAATCACCAAGATCCTGATGCTATGAC